TGTTGAACCATCCTTGCATCCTTGGGATGAAGCCTATTTGTTCATGGTGGATATTTTTTTGATATGTTCCTGGATTCTGTTAACCATTATTTTATTGAGTATTTTTACATCAGTGTTCATGAGGGAGATTGGTCTGTAATTCTCTTTCTTTGTTGCAATTTTGTGACATTTGGGTATTAGGGTAACTGTAGCCTCAGAAGGAGTTTGGTAATGTTCCTTCTGTTTCTATTGTGTGGAACAGTTAGAAGAGTATTGATATTATCTCTTCTTTGAAAATCTGGTACAATTCTGTGGTGAAACCATCTGGTAATGGGCTTCTTTTGGTTGGGAGACTTTTATTGACTGATTCTATTTCCTTAGGGGTTATTAGTCTATTTAGATAGATTATCTGGTCTTGATTTAACTTTGCTATGGGGTACCTATCCAGAAAATCATCTATATTTTTTACACTTTCCAATTTTGTAGAGTACAGGTTTCTGAAGTATGACCTGATGATTCTCTGGATTTCCTCATTGTCTGTTGTTATGTCTCCCTTTTCATTTCTGATTTTGTTAATTTGGATGCTCTCTCTCTGCTTTTTGGTTAATTTAGATGATGGTTTGTCTATCTTGCTGATTTTCTCCAAGAATCAACTCTTTGTTTCATTGACTCTTTGTATTGATCTCTTTCTTTCTCTTTTATTGATTTCAGCCCTCAATTTGATTATTTCCTGGTATTTATTCCTTCTGGGTGATTTTGCTTTTTTTGTGTGTGTTCTATAGCTTTCAGGTGTGCCGTTAAGTTGCTAGTGTGAGATTTCTCCAACTTCTTTATGTGGGCATTTACAGCTATGAATTTTCCTCATAGCACTGCTTTCATAGTGTCCCATAAGTTTGGGAATGTTTATTCATTTTCATTGAATTCTAGGAAATGTTTTATTTCTTTCTTGATTTCTTCCTTGACCTATTGGTGATTCAATTGGGCATTATTCAGTCTCCATGAGATTGTAGGTTTTCTGTAATTTTTGTTGTTGAAATCTAACTTTGAGCCATGGTGGTCCAATAGGATACTGGAGGTTAATTCATTTTTTGTGTTTGTTGAGATTTGTTTTGTGACCAAGCATGTGGTTGATTTAAGTGAAGGTTCCATGGGGTGCTTAAAAGAAGGTATATTCTTTTGTGTTAAGGTGGAATGTTCTGTAGATTCCTATTAAGTCCATTTGAGTCATAATGTCTGTTAGTTCCCATATTTCTCTGTTAAGTTTCTATCTGACAGATCTGTCCATTGGTGAGAGTGTGGTGTTGAAGTCTCCCACTACTAGTATATGGGGTTGGATGTGTGATTTAAGCTTCAGTAAGGCTTCTTTTATAAATGTAGGTGCCCTTGTATTTGAGGCATAAATATTGAGAATTGAGACTTCATCCTGTTAGATTTTCCCTGTGATAAATATGTACTGTCCTTCCTGATCTCTTTCAACTGATTTTAGTTTGAAGTCTATTTTATTAGATATTAGGGTAGCTACCCCAGCTTGCTTCTTAACTCCATTTGAATGGGAAGGCTTTCCCCAGCCTTTTATTCTGAGGTAGTGTCTGTCTTTGAAGTTAAGGTGTGTTTCTTATATGCAGCAGAAGGATGGATCTTGTTTTGGTATCCATTCTGTTAGCCTGTGTCTATTTATAGGTGAATTGAGACCATTGATATTAATGGATATGAATGAATAGTGATTGTTAATTCCTCTTATTTTTTGGTGGTAGTGCTGTATGTTTCCCTTCTTTGGTATTTGTTGGTGTGGGACTATGTATTGCCTGTGTTTTCATGGGTGTATTTAAATTCCCTAGGTTGGATTTTTTCTGTCAAGATCTTTCAATAGGGGTAGATTTGTGGAGAGATATTGTTTAAATATGGTTTTGTCATGGAAAATTTGTTTACTTAGTGTATGGTGATTGTGAATTTTGCTGGGTATAATAATCTAGGTTGGCATCCATGGTCTCTTAGTGTCTCCATAATGTCTGTCCATGTCCTTCTGGGTTTCAGAGTCTCCATTGAGAAGTCAGATGTTATTCTTATGTGTTTGCCTTTATATGTTACTTGTCCTTTTTCTTTTTCAGCCCTTAATTTTTTTTTTTTTACTTTGTATGTTTATTGGTTTGATTTTTATGTGGCCAGGGGACTTTTTTGGATCCAGTCTATTTGGTGGTCTGTAAGCTTCTTGTATCTTTATAGGCATTTCCTTCTTTAGGTTAGAAAGTTTAATTCTATGATTTTGTTGAAAATATTTTCTGTGCCTTTGAGTTGGTTTTCTTTTCCTTCTTTTATCCCTATTATTCTTTGTTTTGGTCTTTTTTGGTGTCCCAAATTTACTGCACATTCTGCCTCATGACTTTGTTGGCTTTAGCATTTTCTTTGACTGATGAATCCGTTTCCTCTATTGTATCTTCAAGGCCAGAGATCCGTTCTTCCATCTCTTGCATTCTGAAGTTCCTGTTTGTTTACTCAGAGTTTTCACTTCCAGCATTCCCTTGATTTGTGTCTTCTTTATTGTCTTGATTTCAGTTTTCAAATCTTCAACTGTTTTTCTCACCTCTTTATTTGCTTTCTCTTGTGTTACTTTAAGGGATTTACTGATTTCTTCCAATTTTTTGTTTGACTTCTTTAAAGGAATTTTTTGTTTCCTCTTTAAAGATCTCTGTCATCTTCTTAAGATAATTTTTGAGGTCAATTTCTTCTGTGCTGGGATGTTCAGGGCTTTCTGATGCAGGTTCTGATGGAGCCATATTGTTTTTTGTTGTTGACTGTATTTTTGCACTGGTGTCTACCCAACTCTTTTTCCACTTGGTGAAAGTGGTATCTGTGTCTGAAGGAGGCTCTCTTGGTCTGATTGATAGTCTTGGGAACTGTTGGTCTAGTCAGTGATGATGTTCCCTTGTCTCAGGGAGGTCCCCTTACTCCAAATGGTGCTCATGGGCTCTTAAGTCCAATCAGGTGAACAGTTGCATTTTCAGAGTGTTGAAATTTTGGAAGAATAAAATGTAGGTCTGTTTTTCACATGTATACAAAAGAAAATTTCATAGAAAACTATATATGTTTATGTGTTATATGTTGATTTATTTGTAGTATGATTCCTTGTGATATTTTTATAGATACTCATAATTTATCATTCTTTTTCCTTCTTCTATATGGATCTACATCCCCTCTGTATTTAGTATACACCTTTGTTTTCCCCATTTCCCTTCAGATTACTTATAACCTCGCATTTATATTAATTTCAATTTAAAATAATTATGTCTATTCATCATGTACCGATACATATAAGAATAATAACAATGTGGGAAAAAGATTGCCCGTATTTTCAAATTCTTTTTCTTGGATATTATGTCACTATTTCAAGGAATTCTCAGAATTATCAAAATGTAGATCATTTTAAACATATTTATAACAGACTGCATGCTCTATTTCTTCAATAGATAAAAATGCTCTAGGAATAAAATATACTGAGACTGGATATATGACTAAGAGATTAAGATTGCTTGCAGCTCTTTCTGTAGACTGGAGTTCAATACCCAGAACTCAGGTTGGGCATCTTACAACCTTCTATAAGAACAACTTGAGGGTATATGAGGGCTTCTTCTGGTCTCCTGTGCAAATGTACTCATGTGCAAAAACCTTCCTCTAAAACCCCCTCAATCTTGTAGCTATAATTTCAAAATAGCCAGGCATGGTCAACCAGTACCTAGAATGTTGAGGCAGGAGGATCTTTATGAGTTCAAGGGTAGCCTGCTCTTCACTGAGATTTGACAACCAGCCAGTGTTATATAATTAGTTTGTCTCTGTCTCAAAAAACATTTAACAAAAAAATCCCCAGATGGTAAAATGAAGAGAATATATCAAATTATAATATATAAAATTAAAAGGAACTACTAGACTAAGGATGATGGAAAGATCAGACCTAAGCTTAAGGTTCTGGATAAAAAGAATATTTATGTTATGGGTATTTAGTAAGAAATGGGTAAAGGGTCAGAGGTTATAGGGAAACCAAGGAGAAAACATTTGTTGAACAATTAATTTCCAAAAGTGCTTATAGTATATCTTAATGTGTTCATCATGATGCAGCAAGTATGAAATCACAGCACCTGTGGACAACTGCAGGGGTTTAAGTAGCAGAAGTCTGTCATTGGTGGGGCACATGATCTGTATGACAAGTCCCATACTAGAGAGCTCTAACTGCTTGGGAGGGAGAATTATTCCCTTTTGGGGTTGTAACATCTCTTAGGATTTCCATGCTACAGTGCATGCCCCCCATGCTATTTCACAGGCAACATCACTCAGCTGGTAAAGGCGGTTGTGGCCAATTGTGACGATCAGAGTTTGATCCCCTGAACCTATGTGGAAGGAGAGAACTGATCCTGCAAACTGTCTTCAGACTTCTACTCATGCACATGCTTTATACTAACACTCAGATAAACAAATAAAAGTAACTCAGTGCAAATAAAACATTTATCATCCAAAGGATCCCTCTCACTTCTTTTCATGAGAGATCAATATGTGTTTGTCAAAAACATTTCATATTTAATTGTGTGTGTGTGTGTGTGTGTGTGTGTGTGTGTGTGTGTAGTTCCCAAGGAGCAAAGAAGAGGTTGATGGATCTCTTAGAGTTGCAGTTAGGCAGTTATGAGCCACTTGAAATGGGTAATAGGAATGGAACTTATAGGTCCTCTGCAAGAACAGGCCTCTCTTTAACCAATGAGCTATTTATCCAGCTCCCTTAACATATTGTTAACATATCCTGTAAAAAAGTATTTCTTCCATAGACTCTAGAGTTATTTTATAATCTTTCGTTCTAGGGTGGTTACATTTCCCCTCTTGATTTTAGACTTCAATCTTGAGTGATTCTGGCTGTTACATTGGAGTGTAAGTTCCAAAAATATGCCCTCACATGAAACAAGAAAAATGCAATGATTATACTGGAAGACATTCAGTGTGTCCCTCTAAAACATATCTTTTCTTAAAATATTTTATTTTAGGTGGGTGATGGAGGCTTCCACCTTTAATTACAGAACTTGAGAGGCAGAAGCATGTAGATTCAATCTCTAAGATTGAAGACAACCTGGTCTACAGAGTAAGTTCCAAATCAGCTAGGGCTACTCAGAGAAACACTGTTTTGAAAACCAAACAAAAATTTTAGTTTTTATTTATGTATAAATTTGTGTGTGAGTGCAGTTTTTCACATGAAAATTTAACACGTGAAATTTACCAATGAAGTGTACATTACATTTGACCCTAATGATGTTCATGTGTTGATATAGGGTTTTTATCTTTAATAAATTAATGTACAAAATCTGAAGTGCATTCATTTAACATATTTGGGCCAAAACACCAAGAATGAGTTAAGTATGAAGGCTTGTTTTTAGAGCCTTATCATTTTTTTGGTTAACATGGCTATTTTATACTCAACTGCAATTGTTGTTTACATTTTGATTTTTTGTTTTCCTTGTTGGATGAAGGTTAACATTTTAATATTAAACTTGCACATTTCTTTCTGTCATAACATTTCTCCCTCAAGGATTTTGAACACAGCTGTTTGGAACATGGTATGACTTCCACTGTTGGCTGATTTGGAGCTGTATAAAGATATTAGTTGTGTATGCTCAAGCTATTCCCAGGATGGGAGATAGTTTAATTCCTGTTCTCTGCAGATCAAGATCATGAATTTTCACCTCTTTATCCAGTACCATGTCTGACTACACACCTCCATGCTTCCCACCCTGATTATAATGAACTAAGCATCTGAAACTGTAAATGCTTTCCTCTATAAAAGTTGATATGGCCATGGTGTCTCTTCACAGCAATAGAAACCATCACTAAGACAGACAGTGTTAGGAAGTAATTTCCAGTGTGTAAATGTAAGTCTTAAAGGTCTGAGGATGAGAATGCTTAAGTTGTGAGGGTCCAAAAAGTGTTTTGAGGAATGTGAAGGATAGTGAAAATGAGAAATGTTTTATATATTTCTTTCTTTGTATGCTATTGTTTTACTAAAATTTTAAATGTTAAGATGTTTAACATTAATTGATGGAGTTCTGATAAACTGTTAATCTCTCCCTGGTAAAGTACTGACTACTATCATCATAGTCACAAGCTCAAAATTTAAAATTCCTTTGGTTGTTTTCTAGGTATAGACTTAAAAGTGCTTCTCATTGTGCTGAAAACATCATTCTAATCATTATATATCCATCCCTCAGGACATAAGAAAAAGTGTTCATGCTTTTAACCTAAAACCACAGCTTTGGTATGACTCTAAGGTATGAGTCTACTCTAGATGTTTTACAGACACCTGTTAACTGCTCACTCTACAGTGAGAATTTCAGTACAGATTATAAGCAGTGGCAATGATAATATATCAAAAAAACTTTTATCTCTTTTTGTAAACTTAAAAAATTCATACAAGCTTCCATGAGTCATGACCTGGATCCCCCTGTCACAGGTGAAACAGACTCCAGGTATGGTCTCCTCTCAATCAACAGCTTAAGTTTCCCCACTTGCCTACTGTCTTTACTTAAGTGTAGTCCCTCTCTGTCTCTCTGTCTCTGTTTCTCTGTCTCTCTCTCTCTGTCTCTCCCCCTCTATTCTTTCTCTCTCTCTCCCTGCTACTCCTAGTCTTTGGACTATTTCCACAACCCAATACCAGGATCACAGGTCTGGAAGATCCAATGGTACACCAAAGAAAAAAGATTTTTCCACTAAACTCCTTAACTTTACCTTATTTTGCTAGTCTATTCCTGTCTAATCAGATTTCTAATCACTTAAAGATTTCAAAGTGCTACAAATAAAAATCAGCTGGTCCTAGACTTACTGAAAACCAGTGTAAACTAGATGCTTCTGATGGAATTTCCAACTGGGATGAGCCTCTGGCTTAATCAGATTTTTCAGACTTTTCCAAAGCTGCTTGGTCTTTGCTAGCCCCAAATGGTCACACAGAACCTGAGAAGCCTACATTCTCTCCTTCCTCCCAACCTTTGGTCAGCACTCCAAACTGCACAGGTCCAGACAATGTCCTAATTTTAGCTAAGAAGAAGGTACAAAATAGATTACATCATCATCAACAAACAGGCTGGAATGTCAGGCCCAAAAGAAACCCAGGGCAAATGGCTAACTATGCTGTCTATTAGCATAATAAAGTGCATACTGTCCTCAAAGTATTCTGGGCAAGTATTTGTTACAGAGTCCACTCAGATATCTGGAATCTTGGCTCCTCTCAGCTCCTCTCACTGCATGCTCTACAATAAACTTCTCCAGATCATAGTCTTCTCTTCCCCAGCTTCTGAATCCTATATAACCCTGACATTTTGACTATGCATCTCTTGGCTCTCTTGGTCTCCTCTCTCTCTCTCTCTCTCTCTCTCTCTCTCTCTCTCTCTCTCTCTCTCTCTCCTGGCTCCTCTATGTTGGTCTTCCTTTCTTGCTCCCTACCTCATGGCCTGGCCTATTCTGCTGGGCATGAACAGTCTACCTCTTTCACTCCCTGCTCTGGAATCTTCCAGATGTCCCTCTCTGTATTCTCCACCATGTCTATCAGAAGAACCTTCCCCTTAACCATAAAAGGAGAGAAAAGAATGCATTCTTTTCCCATCTACACATCAGGATTTAAATATAAGTGTGTCTCTATGACACACAAGCAGAGTGGGCAATGTAGAAGCAGAACCTACTAACAGGAGCATAAGGACAGGACTGGGCAATAGAGGAGAAATACTGAATAAATTACAATGATAGGCACGTCTGTATCAAAGTTTCATAATGTAACACAACATTTTAAACACCCACTAAAATTACAAAAAAAAAGAAAAAGTGAAACACAGATATAAAATTCTGAGCAGAAATATAAATTTATAAATGTCTTACTGCACCTTAGGCTGTTTGAATGAAGTGTCAAAGTTTCTATAAACACATTCTTAAAATTTCTTTTGCACCAAATTCACAGAGTAAAAATTACTTAAATTTTCTTTTAGTTTTTTTTTTTAATGTTTAAAATGTTACAAGGATTGTTTTAAGCTGGGATTCCATGAAGCATATTGCAGTTAGCTGATAATATATAACAAACTATAATAAAAGAAGCAAATTTTGATGACTCAAGACTCCAAGATTCACAGTTGGAGAGATGATTGTGAGGTCAAGAGGACTGTAATGCCCTTGTAGAGGATCTGAGTTCAGTTCAAAGACACAAAGTAGGCAACTTATAGCAATATTTAAATGTAGCTCCATGAGAACAAATGCGTTCTTCTGACCTCTGAAAGAACTGTACAAAGAAATATGGTAACACACACACACACACACACACACACACACACACACACACACACACACACACACACACACTACAACTACCTCTACTACTATTACCAGTACTAATACTTCTATCAATTAATATCTAAAAAAACCAACCCCAAATAAGTATCAGGATTTATTCTGTGACAACATCCAGTCATTCACATATACAAGAACAGGAAAATAAACCCAACTCTCCATATATATATATATATATATATATATATATATATATATATA